TGGAGTGGTTCCTCACCACCCAACCATTTGTGAGACAGCCCCATGCTCCCCAACAAGGCTGGCCCACACACAGCTGCTGCTGGGCCAAAGCAGCCTCTGCTACACGACTCGTGGAGGGTGCAGGTAAATACCACAGATAAGAACAGGCAAGCTTGCTTTGACCATGCCAGCCAAGAGGCAAGCTGAAAGCCAATGAAATTGTTCCAGGAAAAAGAAAGAAAAGAAAAGCTTAATCTTAGTAAAAATATAGTCCCGGAGCACTGGCGGGGTCAGGGTCAGGTTGGGTTACGCGTTGTATAAGTCCCCATTATACAAGCCAAGGCAGGCAGAGGCTTTCCCAGGACTATTCAATCCTCCTTTCTCCTGCTCAGTTTCACTGCTGTTCCTCGTTCCTTCCTTCTCACTGTCCCTTCTTCTGATGCTTGCTTGGACATCAAGCAGGTCACTCCAAGTGCTTCTATCGCTGTGAATTAGAAGATCTCACAAATCACTTCCTCTGTGAATAAAATATGACTGTGGGAACTTATGAGTGGGCCTAAAGTTGCTCATGTGAGTGGCTGCAATAAAGGCAGCTGCTTATCTGTGTAGCAGGAAAAATAAGCATATTATGCAGTAGGAAGTGAGCCTGCTGTAACAGAGTGACCAGAGCCCAGGGGCTAAATGCAAGCATCAGGTACATCTGTGCAGTTTGGAGAGCAACAGCAAACAGTGCTGAGGGGGCTCCTGATAATTGAGAAAAAACACACAAGTATTCCACAGAAACATGGCTGTTACTATTCCTCCATTTTAAACCAGCTGCTGAGGACAGTGTTTTCCCCTTGAAGCAAGCATGTTCCTCTCAGGACACTCCATCATATTCACCTTCAGATTCTGTTCTTCCATGGAAAATTAATATCTTTGCCTACACTCACAAGGCCATTTTTTGCATCCCAGCATTCACCCTTCAGGCAGATGTTCTGAAAACATCTTCAGGTTTCTTTAGGTTTTTTTGTTTAAATGGAGCAATGCAAAGTAAGGCTGCTTCCCCTAACAGACTTCCAGAGTGCATTTGCTCCTCCAGAAACAGCTTCCTTCAAGCCCTCAACTCACTTATTACCAGATCACTTTTGACTCTTGTGTTCTGATCACGTGAGCAAAAGCAGCATTCACCAGAACTAACATCCACTGTCTGGACTCAGAACCAACACCAGCACCTGAAAACCTGCTCCAGCACAGTGCAAATGCACCATATATTTTGGTAATTTCTACATGTTTAGGTAATTGCTCTCAACTCAGCACACATCTGCAAAACCCTGAACCACATTTCTCTAGGTTAAATATCCTAAATATCTTGACTCCAAGACCCCAAAAAGCTGCTGAAACATGTGGGCAACTCATCATAATCTTCCAAAGAAAAAGAAACATAACATTGTACTGCAAACAGAAAATTCATTGCAGTTTTGAGAACTATGGAGAATATATAGATGCCCCAGCAAATACAACTTGCTTCTTAATCAACTAGAAGGGAAGGTAATTATCTAAAACAGCATTTTCATGACAGAGGGAAAGAACAAAACAGAAATCAAAACCTGCTGAAAACCCAGTTGAAGTTTGCCACTATAGCAGAAAGAGAACACACAGTTTTATCTGGAAACTGGAGAGCTTAAACTTCTCAGACCTGCCCAGTATTATGCACAAGAACAGACTTTCTATAATACATTTCACAATACTGGACAGGTGTGAATACCTGTGCTCTTATTTCCCTGCCTCCTTCTACAGACTCCTTTGAAAACCTTCTGTCTTTACCACATCTATCTTGGGACTCTTCCTTGCAAAGCCAAGATGCCTGCCCCTTGCAGTCTGTTTTTTGATGCAGCACAGTAAATTGCTATTCTTTGAAATGCTTGGAAAAAGGTTTTTGAATGAAGTCCAAAGGAAGATTCTGATTGCCAGTGGTTGTTCTCTCTGTCTTAACCTAGATCAGTTTGACATAAGCCATTTATTTGGTGGTTAACCCCAGAAAAATCCTGAAGTGAGTATAAATTTGTGCATTAATCCTGCTCACCAGTTTGGTTCCACTCAGTTTTGGATGAAGGAGGTGCCACGTTACAACTCTCTAACCCGTATTTACCTTTTGAAATGCTTTAACCAAACCCCATTTGGGAAGCCTTCTGTGACTCTCACACAAACTCGTTGTTGCAGAGGAGAGAAAGTCACACCACGGTAAGTGCTGAGCATTACAATGAAATATAAAGCAGCATTAAAGTTGCTCCGTGCTTAATGCGGCGGTTTAAGCAGCTAATCTTGTTTCGGTTGAATGGCGTGTTCATTACAGCAAATAAATCAGAAACGTGCAGGATTATTGAAGAGGAAAGACACATTAAACCAGTTTAGGGCATCATATTGATTTTCCAATTTTTTTTTTTAGTGTCCGATTTAGCTTGGCGTTTTTCAACAGTCAGTTCTAATAAATGCTTGTATAGCACAGATTAAGCAGGTGGGAACACTGCCCAGAAAGAGTATTATGAATAACTTAATGCACTGGTTTAATTGCAGCAATCCATGATACTTACTGTGCTGGCACCAGAGGAGAATTTTCAGTATTAAAAGTTAAAAATTCAACTGAGCTACTAGCGAGTATCTTTCTTTTAATAATTATTTGGTAAAAAAAATCCATTATTTTCACCTCAGATGGGAGCAGGGAAGATTAGAGTTTGTGCAATTATTTAACTTATTTCTGCCACAGCTAATTAAGATATTGTTAAAAAATAATTAACATTTACTTGACACAACTTTGCCTCTGACATGGCAAAACATTGCAGGAGTGTCCCTGCTGTCTTTGTGCTCAGTCAGCCCTATTCTGCTCAATCCCCTTTGCAAACAGGATGCACAGAAGTGGAAAAGCCCAAACCTAGCTCATATTTCAAGCAACAAGCTCCTTTCAAATCCGTACTCTGGAGTATCCCCATATTTCTTCCCCACAGCACCAGTTCCCTGGCACTGTCCTTGCCACAGTTCAGAGCAGATGCAAGAGGAAACCAGTTTGGAGCAGCACCAACTTTCCAGCAGAGCAGAGCATTGAAGCTGCTGCTATCACAGAAGAAGATGCTGTTCTGACAGCTCCCCAAGCCCACACCCAGTCCAGGGCACAGACCATGCCAGAACACTTGAAAGGCCAGCAAAGATGCTAGTGACCTCTTCCAAGTGCAGGTGTTTGATACAGCTATCACACACCTGATGGTGCTCACTGATCACATCACCTGTGCTCTTCCTTTCCATGTTATTTTTGTCTTAGATTAGGTTAGGATCTCCAAGATAGAAACTGCATTTCAACTCTCAGCACAACACAAGGCACATAAATCACACAGGCTGCCTCCAGGAAGTAGCAACACCCATCACAATGCTGGGAGAAGCAACACTCCAGAGAAGTCTTGCAGAATTTACTGGCTTCGCTCTTCCAATGTAACTTTTCACTCTGGCAAAGATACAGAATGCTCATCCTGCACAAGCTTAATGAAGGTCAGGCTAAAAATGCTTACATCAGTCCCAGAGGAAAAATTCACAATGAAATATGAACAAAAATTGGTAAGTTACCCATACATTCTGATTAGGAGTAAAGTGATTTTGCTAATCACACAGCTTATCATTCCAGAGGAACTCTATATTCAGGGCATGAAAACTAAGGTAGAAATTAGCAAAAACACAAGATTTGACAGTACTTGATTAACTGGGCAGAAAGCTCCAGAAACAAAACATTAGGAAAGTGAAGCCATTTTGTGATTATAGCAGATATTTAATGAAGATGCAGAAAGCAGCCATTACACACACAAAAAAAAAAAAGAAAAAAAAGAAAAAGAAAAAAAAGAAAAAAAAAAA